CATAACTAAAATGCATGAACGGATGCATTAAGGCATGAAAGGATGCCATAACTAAAATGCATGAAAGGATGTCATAACTAAAATGCATGAAAGGATGCATTAAGGCATGAAAGGATGTCATAACTAAAATGCATGAAAGGATGCATTAAGGCAAGAAAGGATGCCATACCTAAAATGCATGAAATGATGCATTAAGGTAAGAAAGGCTGACATAACTAAAATGCATGAATGGATGCATGAAAAGAGGCCATAACTGGAATTAACGAATAATCACTAAAGAAAAATGAAAAGAAAAAAATATACAAGAAAGAAATGTATGTTGGACATACTAAGGATGTTTATAGTAATAGTATGAAAGAAGTTTGGTTTCAATAAGAGGGACTTAGCTAATCCTTATGGTTGATACAAATTATTTTGGAATCAAATAACTATGATATACTTATGTATACCTTAATGTTCTTTACAATATTATGTCTCACTAAGTAAATGTTTAACGTGTGTTGCTTCCATGCGTAGGTAAAAACAAAGATTAATTGAGTAAGGAGTGCAGCTGTAGCCGCGGTGATCATCAATTAAGGTTGACTCGTAAGTGACAATAGGACAATCTAGCTTATTTTGGAAAACTTGTTTGGCATGTAATTAAAGTATTAAAAATGCTCTGAATTTTTAATTAAGTAGAACTTTGTAACATATTACAATCAATGTTTTGGCTTTATCTTAAAAATGTTATGTTTTAAGAAATCGAAAACAAAATTTTAAGGGTTTTCAAAAGAGAAACTGTTTTCAAAGTGATGTGACATCAGTATCTCGTGTACAGAATATGTATATAGGAGATGGATGTTACACTGATCGAGAGAGTGATGTCAAAAAAGATAAATAAAATATTTCAATTTTTAAATCAATTCATAAGTTTTATTAGACATTTTAAACATTTCATTCGTACATTTAATAATCATTTTACAAACCATACATATTTTAGGGACTAATAAGGATATAAACATATATCAAGCAATCAAAGGACAAATCAACCCATTTTATATTTAAGGTATCGATATATTTTCTAATGGTATCAATATTAAACAGGGATTTAAATAGCGTTCGCTGTCGCGTTTTCGGTTGTATCGCGTTTGTCGCGATTGCGGACATAATATATGTCATCGCGGTCATTACGGGTATCGCGGTCGTGAATTTTCTTAAAATTCGCACAACTTATCCTAAACAATAATAATTATAATTATAATTTTAAAGAGTCATTTTTAACGATTTTTAGAATATTTTCTAAATGAAATTAACATACATATAATATAGTTTAATCAAATATTAAACTCAGTGATAGGATGAGATAATTAAATAATAATAACATTATGAATACATTATTATTTAAAAGAAATAAGACTATCAACATAGGAAAAACTCTAAAAAATAAAATAGATAAAAATAAATTACTTGTTATTATTCACTTACCAAAATTAACATATTATAACTTAAAACTTATACAATTAAAAATAACCCATCATTTAATAGAAAAACCTATAACATAAATAAAAAAAATATCAAATTGCAAAAATAATTAAATTATTTGGTATGTTTTGGTCCAAACCCAAAACATTAAAAAGTAAACAATTAATTAACTTATTATTGGGTTTTTTTTGGTCCATATCTAAAACATTAAAAATAAAAAATAATTATTTAAAACATCTTAAAAAATTATTATATCCCTTCTTCTTCTTCTTCTTCTTCAGTATCACGCATGAGTGAGAGGGAGACAAAAACGCAAAGCAAATATTGTGAAAATAGGGAGTTTTTTTGTTAAAATTTGTCTCTTTTCTTCTTTATTTTTGATGTTCTTAAATTTTCTTTGCTTGCTAGCTTGATTCTTACAAAAAAAATACCCAAAAAAGCCTTACTTTGTTACACCAAAAGAAAAGCAATAATAAAAATAAAATAACCAGGTACTTCTCTTCAAAGTGAAATATTTTTTTTTCTGATTTTGTTTGATTTTGAGTTTGGACCATGAAATTTAAGAGAAAATCTGAACTTTTATTTTGAGTTTGCTGTTGACTTTGTGTAATGGAAAATAACGGGAATAACGGGCCGTTATCGTCGAGATCGGCCGTTACCCATTAAGTTGCGGCCGCTATCGGCCGTTATTAGTGTGATTCTAATGTCACACCGCTTTTTTGAACAATATCGATGTCGGAGGGCGGCTCTACCGCGAAATAGCGGCCGCAATAACACTTTCGTTCCGTTATTTAGAACCCTGATATTAAATATTAGATATCGATATCCTACGTAGATATTAATATTATTTTTTAATACATTTTCCTAATGGATTTAGGTTTCTAAGAACGAGAGATTCTGATCTGCCAAAAGCAAAAGAAATGTTTATAAACTATCTTCAATGCCGCAAGAAGGGATGGACCTACAGGGGTGGGTAAGACGGTTACCTCTTCTAAAAGTTTTAAATTCATGTATATTTTAGATATTTTCTTTACATTTTCTATTAAAAATATATTTTCGTCCTCTAAAATTTTATAAGTTCTTTCCTACTTTAAATTTAAGTTCGTCGAGCTTGAAGAAGTGAATAAAAATTTTATAAGTTCTTTCCTACTTTAAATTTAAGTTCGTCGAGCTTGAAGAAGTGAATAAATGCTACCGTCATAGATTTCATTGTGTCGATCGAAGTTGTAGACCAGTATACATAGAAAGAGTCGGCATGGTGGACCTGAATGCATTGCTACAAGTAACCATGACAGATTTGTCAAGTATCATAAATCAGAAGTCAGAACAAGAGAAAACACTCAATTTGAGATTTCCCGCATGCTCAATCGAAGGCAAGATGCATATAGCAGCCACCACAAGTATCTTAGACGTGGAGGGAGTTGGAGAAACATGAAAGCTTTATTTTTGCTTTTCTTGCTGAAGAGTTCTACTTGTCTATAACTATGTGAACAAGTGGAATCAGAGTATGATACACAGTAACTGAGATCAATGTTCTTCTATTTGCTGTATGGCCTATTTTCTATGACAATATATAGATTTCTAAAAAGAGAAGCCTGCCTTAATGGGATATTACATAAATGCTGACTTTCTAATATTGAGTTCAAAATTTATTTGAATGTTATTTCTGTTAGGGAATGTCTAATTTCTCAAAGCCTGCAAGATATCTCTCCATGGAAATTCACAAGATTAACCGCAATTATTACCCAGAGGAAAGTTCAATTCCATTTTATTTTCACTAATTTAAATTTGATAAATTAGAGAAAAGAAGATTGCCATAATGGTTAATTTAATCATATATTTTAGATATATTTTTTATTGATAATTTATTTTTATCCCATAAAATTTTGTAAGTTCCTCTCTAAGAAGTTTACATAAAATTATGAGTACTTCCAAAAAACTGATGTCATGGGCTCATGTCACTTAAAGTCTACGCTCAGCTTCAAAACTTATCTTCTTTGACAATTGCCACTCGAACACCATAGTCACCGTCCTTCCTTCACTGTCACCACTGTTCATCATCTTTGTATCCACTTTGGGGGCATTTAGGTTTCTTTTCTGGTTCTGAAGTCTAACATGAAGTTTGAGTTTGCAGGGTGTTGTGCTGGACTGGTGTAAGTCTGATATACGATTTTTATACATATGTACGGTGGAGGATTAGATTACTGATGCTTCCCGAAAAGCTTGAGCTGAGAATAAAGCTACCTAAAAATAGTGTTTTGGAAATCATGAAGACGTTTTCAATTGGATGCTAACCTTATGCAATTTGGAATGCATAGATATAGTTCTTTCGATGTTGTTGCATAGATATGTGGCGATATAACAGTTTTATGATATAACTTTTTAAAGTAGGAGGTGATTGACTTTGTCATCCCCATAGTGTCGGACTGGCTGAGTTGATGAAACCCTTTCCCCAATTTCCCCCATAGTATTGATAGTGACGACGGCGAATGGAAGAACGCTGGAAGCTAGACGATTGCGATCTTAGTGCTTTGAGCAGTAGCTGTCGGAGAATATACGGTTTGAAGTTGAGAGTTTTTTTTTTTTAGGATTTTAGATTTTTGAAGATTTTACCGTGGGATGTTATTTTTTTATGACAGTTATCAATATTGATCATGATATAAATGTTTTAAACGTTTTAAAGTTGAGTGAAAAAAATCTATACACATGTTAGATGATTTATAGTCTTAAAATGTCATCATTTTAACTAATCGATTATTATAAGAATGGCGTCAGGAAGGAAAGGAGGAACGGGGAGAGCAAACCAAAAGCCAACGATTCATTCTGTCTTTGTCAACAATGTAAGCAAGAGGTTCCATCCGTCCACTCTCAAAGAAGCGTTTCAGGAGTATGGTGCAGTGGCAGATGTGTTCATTGCGTTTAGAAGTAGAAAGAGGCTATTAGATAGGTCTACCTTCGTGTTTGTTAGATTCAGAAGCAAAAACGAAGCGATTACAGCGGTCCAAAGGGCAGATGGGAGAATGATGGATCGATACAGAATTCGAGTGTTTCATGAAAACTCATTCGTAACAAAAAGTAATAGTTTTGAGAATGAAAAATATGTTAAGAAGGTCTGGAAACTGGCTCTAAGGGATTCGAGGTCTTTTAAATACGCTTTGGGCGTCGTGAATAATGAAGCATGTTTGTCACAGGAAAAGGACTCAGTGTTAAAGCAGTGGAGGGTGGTAAATTCTAGTGTTACAGTCCATGTTAGTATCTCGGAAGATGGCGCTTCAAACACATATCCGTCTAGTCAAGTATCTAGAGCGAATGTAGTGGTTCCGATGAATGAACTTAGGTGGAGAGAGAGGTGTCTGGTCGGTAAAATAAAAAGGATGTATAATGAGGAGATTGTCCAGACAACTTTACAAGCAGCATGTTTTGATGTTAGGGTAAGTATTTGGCACGATATGCTGGTGGTCATTCAGTTTAAAGGAGAATCGGAGCGTAAGTTGTGATGGGATAGTAGAGTTGAATGGATTCAAACTTGGTTCGAAGAAATGGAACTATTAGAAGGGTATGAGAAGAAAATTAAAAGGACAATTTGGGTTGTTTTGAAAGAAGTTCCTTTGATAGTCTGGAGCAACAAGTTTTTTAATGACTTGGGTAGTCTTTGGGGCTCAGTTGTGTCGATCCATGAAGATACATATAATAGAACAAGATTCGACGAAGCTAGGGTGCTTATGGAAGTCCAATATGCGTCATCGGTGCCAGAGAAATGTATTTTAATCATCAATGGTACGGCTTACACAATAATTTTTTTTACGGAAGATCACGAAGAAGAAAAAGTTTTCATCGATGGTTTTCCGACCGGCGGTGTAGTAGGGAAACTAGTAGCTGATGATGATGGTATGTTCCCAAGGTTGCAGGAGGAGTGTGATGGTGTTGCTGATATCGATGTAGGGTATAATGATGATAGGTTTTATGAGGTGCAAAGTCAAAGGAGTGAAAACAGAGGGATATCAGGTAGGTCTATGCATGCAGATCTGTGCGTAGGAAATATGGAAGAAACATTTGTTGGTTTACATGAAGTGCCAGTTGTATCTATAGATGGGCCCATTAACCAAATGGTGGATGAAAGCATTGGTTTAGTTGAAATTAATAGAGAGACAACCCAATGTGGTACGACCCATTCCATCTCGAACAGTTCAAGGCTTATTGATGTCTCAGTAGAAGAAATATCATCGTGGCAAGGCCTTGTAGTTGAAAATATGGAAAATGTATATGTGCTCCAAAAAGAGAAAATTCCAAGTTTTGTTGAAGGTGTGCCCGTGTCTGCTGTGGGGAATTTTGATATTGGTGTCAAGGATTCATACATGCATCCCGGTTGTCAGGCGCTGATAAGAGATAATTCTAGAAAATTGAAGAAAATGGTGAAGGGATGTGTGGGTAGGTATGTTTCTGCGAGAGCCCAAAAGGGAGGTGTTCTGTTTAGTGAAGATAATTTTGTTCAACCTTTGGGGAATGAAATGGAAGCGGAGGTTGTGTTAGCGGTGGCGGATACTCTGGGAGTGCAGTTTGGAGGATCAAGGAAAAGGGTGATCGAGAGGTTGGAGTCAATAGTTTAATCGGGTAAGCTATGTACCGCTTAGTTAATGGGATATTGGTGTTAATAGTTTGTGGGTTTTCTGCTTAATTTATGGAATTAGGAATTTCTATATTATCATGGAATATTAGAGGGGTGGGAAAGAGGGAGAAAGTTAGAGTTGTGTGTCCAGTTGCTGAATCAAATAAGGTTAGTATGATGCTGATTCAGGAAACAAAAGTTATGAGTTTGCATGCTACGGTAGAGAGAAGGCTAAAGGGGAGAATAGGTAGAGAGTTGGTATATGCTCCGGCAGAAGGTGCATCTGGTGGGTTGGTGTCTATGTGGGATGGGAATTTCTTTAATGTTAGCTGCCAGAGAGTTTACAAAAGATTTATTGTGTTGAAAGGTCGGATTGTTCAGCATAATTTGGAAATAAGCATCATCAATGTGTATGGTCCGAATGTTTACGGTGATAGAGTTTGTTTTTTTGATCAGTTAAGTAGCATCATTGATGAAGGTGCCTGTGATTGTGGGGGGGACTTCAATATTGTTAGGTCGGATGTTGAAAGAACGGAGGTTCAGGACATTTCGAACTCAATGCTGATCTTTGAAGAGTTCATTTCAAAATGGGAATTGGTTGAGGTTCCTAGTTTAGGGAGCGTTTTTACATGGTTTAGAGGTGGGGCGTGTACTGCGATTAATGAATTGGATAGATTTTTAATTTCAGCGGATATTGCTTGTTTAAGTACAAATCTGGTGCAGGCTACGCTTCATATAAGCCTTTCAGATCATAATCCCGTTCTGTTGTACGAAAAAGAGATCAAAAAGGCCTGTAGGCCATTCAAATGGTTTAACCATTGGGCAGACGACCATACGTTAGCTGAGAAAATAAAGAGGGTATTTCATGCAAATCGGGGCAAGGACATGAATAGCGTGTTGTTGTTAGTGAAGAATGTGACTAAAGATTGGGCTAAAGTCAGTAGGGAGTTAAATTCGGAGCCTATTGAGGTCTTAGAGAAAAAAATTGTCATATTAGAAAAGTCCAGATTAAAGTGGTTTAGAGAAGGTGATAAGAATACCAGATTCTTTCATCTTACAACTGCGATGAGAGGCCGAATGAATCAGATCTCGAAGCTGAAAATGAATAATTCGGTGTTTAAAAGTTAGTTTACTATTCAACAAGCTTTCGTAAAGCATTTCCAGTCTTGGTACAATGATGTGAACACGATCCCAGTTAAGAAATATGGAGTTCCGTTCAAAAGGCTTTGTTATGAATCCAAAAGGAGGCTTGAATGTCCTTTTTCGTAAGATGAAGTATGGTTCATTATCAAAAATTCGGATGGATCTAGAGCGCCGGGGCCGGATGGCTTTAGCTTGAATTTTTTTAAGGATTTTTGGATGGATATTAAATATGGAGTTATGAAGTTTTTGGACGACTTCTATTTTGGAAATATTTCGGACTATTCCTTCAATAAGTCATTTTTAGCACTTATTCCAAAGAAAATTCAAGTTGAAGATCCTGAAGAATTTAGACCTATATCGTTGGTGGGAAGTTTGTATAAAATTGTGGCGCGCTTATTGGCGAAGAGAATGGCGTCTTGCTTAAACGAAGTGATTGGCGAAAATCAGTTTGCGTTTATGGCTGATAAGTAGATTTTAGATTGTTCTCTGATCGCGAATGAAATTATTGATGAGTTGAGGAGAAATAAAAAAGAAGCAATCATGGTAAAAGCGGATTTCAGTAAAGCCTATGATTCCGTCGACTGTGAGTTTTTGATAATGATCCTAAAGAAAATGGGGTTTGGAAAAAAGTGGAGGAGATGGATTAAGATGTGTGTATCGTCTGCAAATATTGATGTTTTGGTTAACCGATGTCCGTTGAATTTTTTTCCATCAGAAGGGGATTGCAGCAAGGCTGCCCTCTGTCACCATTATTGTTTAATGTTGTGGATGAGGCACTAAGTGGGCTATTTTCTAAAACTGTCAAACTCCAAGTGTGTGAAGGGGTCCATATTGGTTCATCTAGATTGGGTGTCTTTCACATCCAATACGCTGATGATTTAATTATTTTCTCGGAAGCAAAAGAGGACAAGATTAAAAACCTGTTTCGAGTGCTTAAAATTTTGAGGTTGCTGCTGGACTGAAACTTAATATGCATAAGACGAAACTAGTTGGTATAAATGTTGATGACTGCAGAGTTAAAGAATGGGTTGATACCTTGTTCTACGATTGGGATAGGTTTCTTACATCCTATTTGGGGCTTCCGTTGGGTTATAAAAGAAATCTTAAGCAAATGTGGCAACCGATTGTAAAGAAAGTAAGATCTTGGCTCCAAAGTTGAAAAAGTAAGTTACTCTCTTTCGGGAGAAGGGTTACGCTAATCAAATATGTGCTGGGGAATTTACTGGTATATTACATGTCGTTATTCTCTATGCCTAAATCCATATTTGTGGTATGGTAAGAATGATAGAGGTATTCACTGGATAAAGTGGGATTTAGTTTGTGGTCTGAAATCTCATGGTGGGATAGGTTTTTTTATATTAAGGATAGGAATCGTGCTTTGGTGAATAAATGGATTTGGCGGTATAGTGAAGAGATTGATAGTTATTGGAAAAACATTATTGTGGCAAAATATGAGTACGATCCGCAGTCAATTCTACCAAATTGCTCTAGGTATCGTAGGTCGAATGGAGTTTGGCACAATATAATGCAGCCGGTGATGATGAATGATGATACTTTAGTTTCAGAGGTTCGGTATGTCATGGGGAATGGTACGAGAATTGATTTCTGGTAAGATAATTGGACTGAAGTCCGTTCATTGAAAGTAGCTTTCCCTAGAATATATGGGTTGGCTATTAAAAAACAGGGAATGATTTCTGAGTTTGGGAGTTGGGCTAATGGTGTTTGGTGTTGGCGGATTGATCTGAGGCGAAGAATGTTCGAATGGGAATTATTGATCTGGAATCAGTTTATTGAAGTTCTGAATAGAGATGTTGGGGACTGTCACGGTCAAGATAGATTGAATTGGCTTAGTGGTTCTGATGGTAAATACTACTCCAAAAAATTCTGCATTAAACAGGCAACGTTTGGCAAGATTGAATATCATATTTGGAAGGTGGTTTGGAACAAGTTTGTTCATCCTAAAGTTGCAGTATTTGTTTGGAAAGCGGTATATCATCGATTTCCGGTTAAGACTGAACTGAATAAGAGAGGGATTATCGATAATAATCAGTTGCTTTGCTTGTTCTGTAGAGTTCATTCGGAAGATGTTATTCATATGTTTTGCCATTGTAATATCGTTTGGGAAGTGTGGCAGAGGTGGTGCAAGTTATGGAACGTTAGTTTTATCTTCCCGGCAACGTCAAGCTTCTTCTTACGATGTGGTCGTCACAGTCTATTAGAAGGAAAGTGAGGGATTTATGGCAAATTGGGTTTTTTGGTTGTGTAGAAATAAAGTCAGGTTTAATAATTTGTCATTTATACTAGATCAGATATTCAACATGGCTCTGTTGTAGATTGGGGTCTGGGCTCACATCGTTTGGCCATCATTAGTTCCTCAAGCTTTTGATTTCGTGAGGTGTCCTGAATCTATCATATTTGGTTTCCAGTGTTGGTGATTTTGCTGCCATTGTTTTGTCTTTAGTATGTATAGTTAGGCTTTAATTTGTTTGTTAGATTTCCTGTTGTGGGGGTTGGTTTGATTTCAATTTGTTAATGCTTTACTGATTATGTGGGTGGTTTGTAGAATGTGGTTGCTCAGTTTAGAGCATTTTTTTGTTTGATGTTAGGTGTTCTTTTTCAGGGTTGGTTCCGGATGTAATACGGCCTATGGTCGTTATAAGTTGTTCCATCCCAAGGTTCACTCTTTTTCCTCCATCTAGGATTAGAGAGGTTTTTTAATGAGGTCCTTGGGGTGGTGTACTTTGTGTGATATATAATACAAAGTACCCTCTTTCAAAAAAACTATCATCATTTTAAGTATTAATATACCCATATTAAAACAACGTTGTTTTGAACATGTTATTACATTAACAAAAGTTATCATATACGTACATTATATATCATTTAACGGTCGAGGGTAATGTAATTATATGTAAAACTAAAATTTATTATTATGGACATGTTAATTTATAATTTAGTTACATAATCGATAAAAAAACTTAATTAAATTACATTTAGTGTACTTTATACTAATAATAAAAGAAATTATCCAATAATTAAAGGAGAGCTAAGATCATAGAATGATATGAGATTCCTTTTTTTCTTTCCCTTCAGTTCCTTAGTTCTTTTGGGACACACGTTCACTATTAAAAGAAACCAAACACAAATTATACTGGATCCTTTCCATAGCAATTATTCTTGCATTAACAGCCATTGCTCGAAATGAGCTCGTGCGACCTTCTTAGCAGCGACCCTTCAGAGCTCAAGTTTCCTTGTATGTTCTTTTATTTTATTTTTTTCTTGCAGATCTACATTTTTTTTTGGATTTTTGTTTTGATTTGTTTCTTAATTTTGTTGTGTTTTTGGTGAATAGTTTAGCTGAGGAAGCAGATCTCATGTTCTCTTAAGTTGTCGAATAAAACTGATAATTATGTTGTTGAAAAGTCAAAGCAAGTTGGCTTAAAACTTTCGGTGCAAAGCAAACTTTGGTGCAAAAGAAATTCCACCGAAATTGTTGATTTTTTTTGCATGGGATAATTGCACATTTAGTCTTTAAACTTTAGGGTGTTTACAAGATTAATCTTTAAGCTTCAACTATAAATACTCTAACCCATTTAGCTTCAAAACCATCCCAAACCATTCTAGCTTTATCCCAATACTAGAGAATTTAGAGAGTTTTCTTTAGAGTTGTTTTCTCCTTTTTATCAAGAGAGAATTATCATTGTTTTCTCATTGTTAGATCGAGAGAAATTGTAATTCCTATTTTCTCATAGTGAAATTCTTCTACTGTTGCCCGTGGTTTTTATCTTATATTATTTAGGGGTTTTCCACGTAAAATTTATGTCTTCTTTATCTTCATTTTTATTTTATCAAATTATTAGTTACGATTTTGCTCTATCTGATAGCCGTATTCTGCAACAATTGGTATCAAGAGCCAGATTAGAGTGTGTAATATCTACTTATTATCTTTGTGGTTGCCACCAAAAGGTGGATCTTCCAACATAAGAAAGTAAGAAGGTATTATCCATTATTTGAAGATTCTAGAGAACTATTCAAGATAGTGAAATAGTGGGAGCTATCCGTAATAGAAGCTATGACAACAAAATTTGATATTGAAAAGTTCAATAAGAGAAATTTCTCATTGTGGAAATTGAAGATGAAGGTCATCCTGATGAAAGACGAGTGTCTAGCGGCTATAAGTGAAAGACCGGTAGATTTCACATATGACAGCAAATGGAACGAGATAAACAAGAATGTTATGACAAACCTTCATCTAGCAAGGGATCAAAAAAAATCCAGGAAATCCAAATTCTTGGAGTATGATGATGGAATAAAGGGGTATTGCTTGTGGGATCCCACTGCCCGCAAAGTGATCATTAGTAGGGGTGTTATCTTTGTAGAATATAAACTACAAAGAAAAAAAGACGATGATATCGCTGAAAAGTCAGAGACTATATAGATACATATGGAAAAAGAGTTTGAACAAGGAGATTCTTCTGAAGCAGAACCAACACATGATGAACAAGAACCAGAGAGTTCTGAAGCTCCAACAACTCGTCAATCAGATCATGTGAGAAGTTGTCTCAATTGGAACTCAGATTATGTTATAGAAGGAAATATTGCATACTGCCTTTTAACAGATGACGATGAGCCATGAACATACCAGGAGACAATAAACAACTCATATGATTCACTATGGATGATGGCGATGCAAGAAGAAATTGAAGCCCTTCATAAAAATAATACATGGGACCTTGTGCCACTACCACAAGAAAGGAAGCCAATTGGTAACAAATGGGTCTTCAAAATCAAGCGAAATGTTGATGATCAAGTGGAATGGTATCGTGCAAGATTGGTGGTCAAAGGATATGCTCAAAAAGAAGATATTGATTTCAATGAAATCTTTTCTCTTGTGGTTCGACTAACAACAGTTCATGTAGTTTTGGCAATGTGTGCTATATTGAATTTACATCTAGAGCAGCTAGATGTTAAAACAGCTTTTCTTCATGGAAATCTTGAAGAAGAGATTTACATGCTCCAGCCTGAAGGTTTTGAAGAAGACGAAAAGAAGAACTTGGTTTGTAGGTTGAACAAATCTTTGTACGGTCTAAAGCAGGTGCCAATGTATTGGTATAAGAGATTTGATTCCTTCATTATGTGCCTTGGATACAACAGACATAACGCAAACCCTTGTGTTTATTTCAAGAGGTTTGGTGATAACGATTTTGTTATATTGTTGTTGTATGTGGATGACATGTTGGTTGCAGGATCCAACAAAGATCATATTGAAGAATTGAAGGCACAACTGGCTAGGGAATTTGAAATGAAGGACTTGGGATCAGCAAACAAGATTCTAGGAATGCAAATTCACCGAGACAGAAGTAATAGGAAGACTTGGCTTTCACAAAAGAATTACTTGAAGAAGATCTTGTCACGATTCAACATGCAAGATTGTAAGCCGATTTCTACCCCTCTTCCTATTAACTTCAAATTATCCTCCAATATGAGTCCTAGCAGCAAAGAAGAGATGATGGACATGTCTCGAGTGTCGTATGCATTGGCAGGGGAAGTTTAATGTTCGCTATGATATGCACAAGACCAGACATTACACAAGCAGTGGGAGTGGTTAGTCGGTACATGACGAATCCAGGCAAAGAGTATTGGAATACAGTAAAGAGGATCCTGAGATACATCAAAGAGACCTCAAATGTTGTATTATGTTACGGAGGATAAAACTTACTTATCAATGGGTATGTCGATTCTGACTATGCAGGGGATTTGGATAAAAGCAAATCTACTACAGGATATGTGTTCAAATTTGCTAGTGGAGCTGTAAACTGGGTTTCAAAATTGCAGTCAGTTGTGGCTATGTCAAGAACAGAAGCAGAATATGCAGCAGTTACACAAGCCAGTAATGAAGCAATTTGGTTGAAGATACTATTATAGGAGCTTGGGCACAATCAAGAGTATGTCTCTCTGTTTTGTGACAGTCAAAGCGCCTTGCATCTAGCAAGGAATCCAACATTTCATTCAAGGACAAAGCACATACGAGTTCAGTACCGTTTCATTTGTGAAAAGGTGGAAGAAGGGACGGTAGATATGCAGAAGATCCATACCAAAGACAATATAGCAGATTTCATGACGAAGGCGATCAACGCTGATAAATTTACTTGGTGTCGATCCTCTTGTGGCCTGTCAGAAATGTAACCAATATGAAGGTACAAGGTAGAAAGAATGGTGTGAATGTATGATTGTTTCAATCAAATCTTCAAGTGGGAGATTGTTAAAAAGTTAAAGCAAGTTGGCTTAAAACTTTCGACGCAAAGAAAACTTTCGGTGCAAAAGAAATTCCACCGAAATTGTTGATTTTTTTGGCATGGGATAATTGCATATTTAGTCCCTGAACTTTAGGATATTTACAAGATTAGTTCTTAAGCTTCAACTATAAATACGCTAACCTATTTAGCTTCAAAACCATCCCAAATCATTCTAGCATTCTCCCAATACTAGAGAATTTAGAGAGTTTTCTTGAGAGTTGTTTTCTCCTTTTTTCAAGAGAGAATTATCATTGTTTTATCCTTGTTAGATCGATGGAAGTTGTAATTCCTATTTTCTCATAGTGAAATTCTTCTACCGTTGCCCGTGGTTTTTACCCTATATTATTTAGGGGTTTTCTAAGTAAAATTTGTGTCTTCTTAATCTTCATTTTTATTTTCTCAAATTATTAGTTATGCTTTTGGTCTATCCGATAGTCGTATTCCGCAACATATGTAGCTTTCAAGGTACGCATCTTTATCGGCTTCGAATTTCCCCATCCATTGCTGGAACATGTAGTTTTGTAACTTCTGATCTTTGATTGATCATAATCTTCTAACGTTTGAATAATGCGTTGCCCTAAGCCACTGTTTGGTTGATGAATAAAATCAGGAATAACGAATTAATTATCATTTCGAACGAGAAAACCTTTGATTTCTAATGTTTGAATCTCAAATTGATATTGTACACTGCCTTTTGAGTTACAATTGATTTTGTTTTCAGGTGAAAACAACCAATGCGAAGAAGTATTGCGGGAGTCTTCTTGCCTCGATCCACATGCAAAGTTATAGGTATACTAAATTAATTATTATTTTTTAACTTTATATTTTGCTGTTTCTATCTCTGCTCATTATTGGATTCCGGATAAATTCTAAAACAATGGTTGATTTTGATTTAGTTACAATGCAAGCGCAAAAGGAAGCTCCTCCTGATATGCAATGTAGGGACAAATTCCTCCTTCAAAGCGTAAAAGTGAATGATGGTGTTACGGCAAATGATATAACTGCAGAAATGGTAGGTAACTATTTATTTTACATGATACTATTTACTATTACAACATTCGGAAATGTGTGCAGCTTATGATCTATGGGGAATGTTTAATGTTATAGTTCAACAAAGAAGCTGGACGTGGTTGAGGAGTGCAAGTTGAGAGTGGTTTATGTTTCCCCAGCTTCACCAGTACAAGAAGGGTCGGAAGAGGGGTCTTCAGCGGGAGTCTCTGTTTCAGATGGGAGATGTGTGCAGCTTAAGATTTTGCTTCGTATGTTTTTATCATTGCATCTCTTGTTGTCTTTCATCTTTTGGTAATAGTTTGCATTCCGTTGCCGAATTCAGGGTGCACGAGCATTTACTGAAGGGCTTGAAGCTCAAAATATGTCTTCCGAGGTAAATGTTTAATTCCATGTCTTCTGTTTCAGTGTGCTTTTGCATATGCATGATTGATTTCATTTTTTTCTTGATAATAGTAATTTCTTTTGGTAATTCAGATATAGTAAGTTCCTTATTTTCTTGGTCAATTATCTGCTTTCATTTTCTCAGTTGCTATCTAGTTAGATGAATGACAGGGTAAGAGAGGGGGTTCAGGTTCAAATAATATTTAGAAAATGTTATTATTAATTGTTCCGACCAAAACTTATTGAGCTACTAAGTATCTCTGTAAATTGCACCTTGCAGCAAGGAGGCACCACATGCAATTTTCCATTGAATGCCCCTGCCAAACTTTCCGTAGCCAGCTTTTGCACCATTGGACCCCAAAGCTCTGTTTCTCAATGACATATTTCGAGTGCAATAAGTAATAACCCTCAATGATATTTTCTATACTTGCAGGCAAGAGCTCTTGTAACAAAGCTGACTGAGGAAAAAAATAGGGCAATTCAACAAAATAACAAGCTTCGCCAAGAACTTGTGAGGGAAAATAGACCATGACTTTAACCATGTGGATTATAATAATTATTATAATTAATGTGTATAACAGAAGTAATATATGTTCTATCCCTCCTAGTTCCTTCTCACCTGATGCTTACATGTATGCAGCAAAACACTCTTTATGTTTAGGAGACTTCATTGGAGAGCTCCCTTGTTTATTATGTTCTTTTAATCTGAGCCATATATAAACTTCTTACATATTAAGATTACAAATATTTTAGGAACTTCTGAGGCATCAAGGCAGCAAAACCGGCAGTGGTTTGTCATTCATGGTTGTCATTTTGATCGGCATGCTCGGCTTAATTATGGGATATATCATGAAGAAGTCATAAGCAACCATCTTCTAGGATTCTTCATGGTATTTTACCTCAACTTAACTTACCTTCGTCTGGACAAGTATGATGAAGGAAAAGGGAAGAAAAATTAATGGTTTTTGGGTTGCTGCTTTACCTTCAATTGGTATTTACTAGTTAGCTTTGACGAAATTAGCTAACCTTGGTACTATTAGTTTCTATTTATAGATACTCAAGTTATTTATCGATATTGAATATGGGAATAATATATATATAAATTTATATTTTCACAAAAATGGTTTTGATTGTTACAATTTTATTTAAAAGCACACTGAACTCTCCGATATTCTGGGACTTTTTACCTGAGCTGGGGAGAGCTCAGATTTGCCACCATTCCAGACAAAATCCCAAATCTTCAAAACAAGAAGATTTTTTTTTAGAAGACATAGATCTAATTAAACTCATGTTTACGTGTAAATAAGATTGTTCGAACCCGAATTATCTTAGAAGAACAATATTCTCTTTTACTAGAGGGATCACTCCTCCTTTTCTCAAAACAAAAGACTATCAAATTCCTAAGACTAGGCTGAGACCTAAGATGAAGCTTGTTTATAATGACGAGACATTTGTTTCCAATTTTGGTCATGATAAATTCAAATAACAATAATTAATGTAGCATGTGTAAACTTTGATTTAGATTATAATAAAAGTGTAAATGGAGTAATGAAATACTCAGAAATATGGCATTGATGATTATTTCTCGTATCTTTGAATTTTCTAGATGCCTATTTGGTAGAAGTGATTTTGAAATTCTTAATTTATTTTTGGATTTGATAAATTCATTTTTTATACTTTTTATCTATATGCTACATTGGATCTCAACTATGTATGCATTCCATTCTTATAAATTTACATAATAAATAAAATCTAAATTTTGATATTTAAATTTCCAAAGGATGCATAAAGAATTCCCAATGTTTAGCTCAATCAGCTAATGATATTTGTTTACCGACACATAGGAGCCAGACATTTGTCTTGTAAGTCTTAGAAAATCATTTTTCACATCCCAACGAATCCCAAAATCTGCCTTTATAATCACTATTGTATTGCTTACATCCACTACGAATTCTCTCAATCCTGCAAGCTGAAACAATAATTTGGTTTATAATCCCAGGACATGGAGGTTTTACCCATCAAAGTGCCCTACCAGTTATTTTAGATATAACTTGAGAGACTCTCTTTCGGCATTCAGAGCATCCCATGTTTGCAGTCATCACTATAACCTGAAACTGAAATTTATGCAATATGAACTCCTAATAACTGAATTAAATTCTAAAACACCAACAGTTTCATGTGTGCATTTCACACTTGTGTGAGTTTGCAGAAGCTTAAAGTTGGCTCATGATGGAGGTGTTAGAAGGAAGTTCATTAATATGAAAATTCAATTTAGATAAATCATAATCATGGAGGAATCATCAAAAAATAAGTATAAGAAATCTGCAGATATTAATCAATCAAGAAAACCAAAAGGTAGTGTTCCTCGAAGTAGGGAAAAAAGCTAAAACAGCATAACAATGATACGCAGAGCCAAGAGACCAAGCTACGGGCAATGAAAACGTTGATGCAAAGAAAGCAGCCCAGAAAACGTACCGAAGGGAGTGCCAGATTCTCGAGATTGAAGAGAGTGTTCAAATTTGATGCCATGCACCATAAAAATCAATTTTCTGCTCTGCTTCTGCAAAGGGATGACCGCTCTCCCTCAACCAGGATTTTTACAAATTTATGACAATAATTAACCCCTTGACAAGAAGAAACTGAAGTATGCAATATTATAAAAATGTGAAGTTGCTATTAAGGAAAATGAGTTCCCGTCAACATTATGACTACAGATAATATTTCCTAGAACTTCAAACTACCTAACATTCTGCTGAATTTCTTGGGAGGACCATAACTTGATAGATTTACCATTTTATGCCCACCAAGCTTCTATTCGTTGTGACCTTCATGTTCTCTGCATAGTATATACTATAACAATCAATGTTAAAAGCTTAGTTTTTTTTTCCGTGACAGAATAAGATATAATTCAAGACCATATTAAATCAATTTGTTGATGTAAATGGACAGAGCAAAAGCTAAAATAGGTAATGGACCAAATGATATTTTAATCTATAGGATAGTAGATATGAATATTAAGTAGAGTAATTAATATATCTAGATTTGAATATTTCTTTTGGACCTAGTCAGAGTGAGATGGCTTGTTCAACTAGGTTTAGGTTATAACTTTGGGAATCATGTATTTAAAAATATGCTAGCATTTGCACATGATCATGCATAACTTGAAAGATCTAAGATGATACAAATATTCATAGTTTGCACAATTCAATGCTGTTATGTTTATCTTACATGAAACAAAATAATAGTTCGGACAGACAGATCAAAGCAACAATTCTAACAAATGATACCATCAAAGCATACAAACATGGAAGGAAACATCAAAAAGTTGGAGTTGCCAGGATGAAACTTGCCAACAATTGGCAACTACCATATCAAACCACATTATGTCAACATCCAACTGGCAATATTTTGGTAAAAAAATGATAACTTTCATACATAAGCATCAAAAGCAGCTCTTACAAAATATTGAATAAATTTTCAAGTCAAAGATGTTGTAACAAATATGAAAAGGCTATAGTTAGACCCTGAATTCATACAACTCTGCAATTTGAATAACCATCTAGAAACATAAGCCTGCAGAGCTTTAGTTTCTGCCAGCTCACCTCCTGGAAAACATTGTATCCTTCAGAGTTCCATTTGTTTTGCTCCTTCCGATTAACAATGTCCGTTCCCTCTCCTTCTCCCGCCTCTCCCTCTTCAAACGTTCTTCCCACAATTCTTCTATCGTCTTCTTCCCGGTTTTCCTTCCCTTTCCAGCAATCCCATAATTGCCTATTCTTCTAGATTGACTTCATATTACAATTTCATGACTATAATATTTAGGATTTTCAATTGTTTTCTTTTCAATTATTTTGTCCTAATGATTATAAAATATATATATTCTAGAAAGAAAATTAATCATTGACATCGTGCACATGCCTACAAAAGTAGTTGTTTTAACTCGAGACATCTAATAAAAATAACACTCACTTTAATTATTAAGGTTACTTAATGAGTTTGAAAAATCAGAATGAAATTTAGAATAACATCAATCTCTTGGCGTTGGAATTCGAAAACATACGGTGTAATTAGGACGAAAAGCATTATTTTCATGCTATTAATTGACCCATAATAGTTTTATTAGTACAAACAAAGGTGTAGAAGTAGGTCTAAACTGAGTTATTCATAAAAAGTGGGATCCGATAATCTTGGTGTTGGGATTGCCACAAGTGGTTTCTCTAACTTCAAGACGATCCCAAACTTCTCAGTAAGATCTAAGTTGTTACCTTCTGGCACTTTCCAGTCAAAAGAATGCAACAGTGTGGCAACCGAATACAACACCATCCTCTCAGCCATCGCGATTCCGGCACAGATTCTTCTGCCTGACCCAAAAGGAAAATAACTGAAATCGTTCCCACTAAAATCCCACTGGCTATTCAAAAACCTCTCAGGGTTGAACTCCGATGGATTGTCCCAGATCGAGGGGTCCCTGTGAATTGCCCATGCATTCACGAACACCCTCGAACCCTTCGGGATACTGTAACTACCGACGGTGCAGGATTCACTGGGGCAATGAGGGATTAGGAGAGGTAGAGCGGGGTGCAAACGCAACGACTCTTTCATTATTGCCAGTAGATATGGCAGTTTGTGAATGTGGGATTCTTCCACCAAGTTATCTTTGCCCACTACTTCAACCAGTTCTTGCTGTGCTCTTCTCATCACTTCTGGTTTGTTGATGATTTCAGCCATTACGAACTCAATTGAGTTAGATGATGTGTCTGATCCTCCCACCACCATATCCTGTCAAGTATTAAATGTATGTTTAAAGATCCTTTTTTTATTTTTTGTTAGGTTAGCGAACTTGGAGAGGAACTCTGTTCTTTCATAGCTATTTAAGAACTTATCAATAATTGATCTAATTGAAGAAGAAGGAAAACTCACCAGGAGCAAGGCCTTGATATGATCCATAGTCAATGGGGTCTTGGAATCTTCGTCATCCTTCAATTGTAATAGGAACTGAACAAAGTCCTTGAATTCCAGTGCTGAACTGCTCCCACTTTCCCTCTCCTTCTTCAACCTTTGATCGATTATGTTTTCAATGATGGCGTTCAACTTATCCATTGGTTTTTTCATACGTTTTACTGCACCTTGCAAATCAAGCGGGGCCAGCGTTGGAAAAAAGTCAGAAATATTGGGCATACCCAAAAGCTCAGTTGTTTCCGAGATGACCTGCCTGAACTCTGCACCAAGACTCGCCCTCGCCTCCCCCTCGACGGTGCCGCCCCATAACATACTGGTCACCACATTCAATATCGTTAAAAACATTTGCTCTCCCACGTTTACCGGCGATCCGGCCTTGCTATACAAATAACCCACGGTTTGCCGTACTTCTCTACGGCGAAGCTCATATGTTTTGTCCAAAGTAGCATTGCTAAGCATATTGATGACGCATACTTTTCTTAACTATTAAAATGGTTTTCAAGTTTGGTAATCAACTTTGAAAAAATGGTTTTCAAAGTTTGGTAAATGTTTCTTTGAAAATGGTTTTCAAATTTTGGTAAATGTTTCTTTGAAAAATAGTTTTTCAAAGTTTGGTAGATGTTTGTTGAAAAATGATAATGGGATAATCACAATTAATCCCTAGGTTTTAGGGTATTTACAAAATTAAGTCCTTAAGTTTCAACTATAAATACCCTAGCTCATTTAGCTTCAAGACCATCCCAAAAATCATTTCTTTCTCCCAATACTAGAGAGTTTTCTTGTGAGTAGTGAGTGTTTTGTAAACACCTGTAAATTTTCTCTTTTAGTAAAAGATCTGCAGCAGTCCGGAGACGTAAGCACAATTGGCTGAACTCCGTTATCAATTTCGGGTATTATTTTTCCGCTTTTATTTTGCATTCTCACTAATCTGGTTATAGGGAAATTACTTGTACTTGGTTTATTTCCCAACAACTGGTAATCAGAGCTTTTGGGTTGTGAATTTTGTCAATTTTTTGCGATGTTACTATTCGGGTTACTATTCACGTGAATAGTAAATTTCATG